GCTTTTGGGCACAACGACCACAAGAGGGAGCTTGGAAGTGAAGGTCTAGTTTAGCTATAGTTTTTCTCCAGAGCAGGGCTAAGCTCTTTCCTTGCAGCCGTACAGGTTGGCGAGAGAAGAGAATTCGAAATAAGTTGCTATTTCAGGACTTCGGTTGCATGACCTGGATATCTCTTGGCAAGACTTCAAATAAAGGTTCGTGCTGATGGTTATTTTGTCTAACAGGTGTGTGGTGCTGCAGATTGGGAGTCTTTTTGTGTGTAAGCAAGGGTTATTTGCAATTTTCTGCTCTGTTAGTGAAGCTTGATAAAAAGAGCCGTGGGATTCCACTGAAGTTGAAGTAAAAAAATGTGATCGCAAAAATGGGGACTATACAATGGGACTCTGCTCCACCGAATGTCAGAAACTGTTGCTAAAACAAAGCACGGGGAACAGGATGAATGAATTTGGCTTAGTGCTTAAACAAAGCTAAGCCTGCTTTTTTTGCAGTCTAGCCCAATTTAAGTCCTGCTGTGAGTTTTCCTGCAGAGCAGCCGGTCCCTCCTGTCGGTCTCATCAAGTTTTGCTCACACAATTAATTAACGTTGAGGAGCACCAGGGTGTCCCTCGAGTTTCTTTGCGTGAGTGGGATTAGCGCTCTTGCATGGCCGTAAATAGAGCTGTAAATGGGAATGTTAGAAGAGCAGACCCCAGATATCTGAGACACGAAGGAGCGATGCCTTGAGCAGGATTAGAGAAGCCTGGAGAGACAGAAATGCTGCCACATAAAGTCATCTCTGGTGACAGGACAGAGAAACCCAGTGCTGCAGTTGGAAGGTAATGAGCAGATTATACCTAAACCACAAAATTAAAAATGCAACAATTTGAGTTCCCCCAGCAATTACATGAGTAATAGGTTGCAAGCACAGTGATGTCAGACTGTTTAGCTGGCGTTTGGCAAGGGCAGTTTGGTGGAAATGCAAATGTGGCATTGTTTATTATATGTCATAAATAGACTGGTTCTGGAGCTGAATTTTTCAGAAGCCAAGGACTTGCCCAGTCCATTGTAGCTGTAGAGATAGGATCAAAATAAAATGCAACTGGAGAAGTCAATGAAAAATAATATTCATTGTTAAAGACTTGAAAAAGTTTTATTATTTAGGGCCAATCATTGGTATTTTCCCAAGAAGAGTCTCATTTGAGAGCTGTCAGGGAAGTGTGATTTAGCAGATGTTCTTGTGACCTTTTTTTGCAGCTTTTTAAAAGTTTTTCTAGAACTCTTTCATCCAGGGATGGGCCAGTGCCTTATAGAAGAGAGGATGAGTTGGGTCACTCACCCAGTGAATTAGCAGCACGGTCAGGAATAAAACATTTCCTATTACCTCCAGCTCCTTCCCCTTCCCACACAGGCCCTCTGTAACCAGTGGCAACAGGAGATCCAGGAATGACTAAATCCTTGGAAGGTCTCCTGGCTTATGCAAGGCTGCAAACAGGAAGCATCTTCGTGGACTTGGATGCAGAGCTGGAGCAACGGGAGGCTGGAAGGGCACCGGGTCACCCCACATTTCTGTGCACCAAGGCAGGACCAAGGGTCCTTGGATGTGTTTTCCCCATACCCTTGGAGAACAGCTGATCCTTCTTACTGAGATGGACCTCAAACACTAGGAGACTGCAGTAGTTCCACTTTCTCTTCTAAACTGAACAAATTCAGATCTTTCCTATGCAGATATTCTCCCCTTTTTTCCCCCTTTTTTTTCTCCAGTTTTAGTGAACTGACTTTGGATGTGTTTATTAGGCAGCTGCTCATGTTCCTCTCGTCTGTTTGGTGCTATCCAGAGAGGACTTTGGCTGCTTCCAGCGGGATCCTGGCTGTCACCGCTGGCCCTGCAGCTGGGAGGTTTACGGCGTGGGTGAAGGGTGAACACGGAAGTTCTCCTGGCAACTCCGGCTGATGGGTTTGTGCTAAAGAAGGAAAGAGCTAAAGTAAATGTATGAAACGCTACCGTGGACCAAAGTCCACACAGGTGAGTGCTGTCCCTTGCCAATACCAAATGCTTTGAGTGCGAAGAGCAGGATTAGTACAGCACGGCCCTTCTCCTTGTCAGCTGCGTATGAGGTCTTGCCTTTTGGGTTGCAGTATTTAAAAATCCCCTGACAAACCTCTCTTGTATGAGTCTATCTCATCTTCCTCCTTTTCTGTCCTCTGAAAGGAATTTGATGGTAAAAATGACAAAACGCGGGGGTTGTAACGGCAGTGACTCAGCTCTGCATCGGCAGGCTGGGAGGCCGGAGAGGTCAGCGCTTCGGGAGCAAGGAAGAAAACCCTAAGAACGGGGAGGGAAAGTTTACAGCAAAGTTTCATTTGGAAGATATCAGACTTTCTGCTCTGTTCTGCTAGATCCATTCTGGCAAGCAACGAGAGACCAGTAAAGACCACAGCCCAGTGAAATGCAATCTGAAATACAACTGCAAACCTGAATGAGCTGACAAGCTCGGTGGGTCAGATTTGGTGCATAGAAACATCCTTCCTGGCAGAGCTGGTGTCAGGACCTGGGCTCCAGAGCACTGAAAATCAAGGGAAGGACGGGATGAGCAGCCCGCTCGCTGGTGCACTTGCTCCCTGCTTTGCTGTCCCATATTCACGTTGCATTCCCATGTTATTCCCTGACAGGGTGGATAAGGAGGGCAGTTGTGCCTGGCTGGTGGTGACTCAGTGCGGGGCTCCCCATGCAGCTTCCATTCAGCCACCAGCAGAAGGAAGGAGACCAGCTCTTCTCCTGGCTGTTACTAGCAGGACGGCAGAAATCCATTTTGGAGCCTACCAGTCCCTTCTTCCCTACAGCTGAATGGGAAAGCAGATAGGATGATGCTGCTCCATGGGAAAGCAGATAGGATGCTGCTGCTCCGTGGGTGATCTACGGTTTTCCTCTTTACAGTCTGGGTACCTGCTAAGGGTACCGTCTGAGAGGCTCCATCCTGGCACACCGGGGGTATCCGGGAAGCATAAGGGGGAATGTGGCAAATGGCCCTGCTGCCAGGAAGCCACTTACAGCAGGTGTTTCATAGGAAACTGAAGAGAAAGCAGGAAGCAAAATCTCCGTGGTGGGTAACACAGCATTTTAAGAGCCCCATGATGCAGTTTTGTTGTATATATGTATTTATTTATTTTAATATATATCATATATAATTTCATCTCCTACCTCATGGAGCTAGAAGGGCACTTCTGGTCACATTAGCCAAACACAAGGCTATCCGGCCCCTCTGTGCATTAATGGAAGTGAACCTGAATTAAGAAGATGCTGCTGGGTTGCAGCTCAGTGCCTCTCTCCCAGCCCCTCTGCTGGAAACGTGACTCGTTTTGCTCCTGGTTTCTCCCCCAGCAGCTGCAGGAGCTCTGTGCTTACCAGAGCCCACCTTGGTCCCACCAATGCAAACCCTGCAGCGCTGGGAAACCGTAATTGCACCAGGGGAAAACATCCCTGAACGCAGCGGTGGCATTTAGACCTGGGGGTGGATGTCAGTGTTTTTCTCTAACCTGCTTTCAGGCACTGTGTTGCTTTGCTGCGGAGAGGAGCCTGCACGTGCGAGCGCAGCCGTGGCCGTGCAGCGGAGAGGAGCGGGTGTCTGCGGCCGTCCGCGCGCTCTCCCAGCGCTCCCGGGATGCTGCAGCTCAAAGTCCAGTTCCTGGATGACTCCCAGAAGATCTTCGTCGTCGATGTAAGTGGGCATCATCTTATTGTTTGGGGCTAGCTGATGCGGCCGTGGCTGCTCGGGAGGATTGCATAAGCTGCGAGAGCTTCTGGGTTTCAGCTTTGCAAAAGCAGGGGGGGAAAGCGAACAAAAACAAAAAGCAAAAGAAATCCAAACCCCAACCGAGAGCTCCTTGTGCTGATTGCTAAGTGTCTTTCAGCACCAACACACTCCTGCTGTCCTCACCTATTTGTGTTATTTATAAAGCAGGAGGAATGGTTTTTAATTCTCTGGTGTCACCTTTTTGGAAATCAGCTAATATAATGGGATGGTCTTGACAAGTGTGGAATTCTGTTTTCATCTGTTTGGATGCCAGTAAAAGCATCAACAAGAAAGGAAAGAAATCTGGGAACAGAGTAAAAATAGCATATCCAGCCAAAGTACCCGTGGTGAGAAACATCTGTATGTGTCTCCCTTCTTGGATATTTAATTGGAAAAGAAAACTGTGTGGCTTTGAGGAGAGCTGAGGATCCTGGATGTTATTTTCTGTAATAGTGTCCCAAAGCACACTGTCATTAGTAGTTCACACTTAATAAATACTAGCTCTGAGTACTAGCTGTTGAAATGTATTTTAAATGTTGTGTTGATAACTCTGATATTATAGATTATATATAAATATATCTATATATCTGGAGATAAATATAAAGTGGTACCCTGCCTATATTTCAGAAACTTAATCTTCCTACAAGAGTGAATGAACAGTTACTGGATTAAGATGTGATAATCACAGTAGAAAACTGAACTGGATAACTCAAGTTGATCTATTCTAGCACTTACCTGCATCTCCTGTGAGAGGAAACTGTTTTATATAAAACTATTCTTCAAGTTGCATTACATTCCTTAGATAATTCTGTTTTCTATTGCATAGCATAGGATGTCTGTATAGAAAAATGTCTATTGCCTCTCAGAAGTACTTTGGTTTCTCTGCAATAGCAGTTTTGTACAAAAGAGTATTGTAAAGTAATTCCATCATATGGAAGTTTAATGAAATTCAATTAATGTATCATAGGGCTGCAGTCAGCTTAAACACAAACCTGGTTATTTAAAACTGCTGTTTTTCATACTGATTTGATCAGGGCATAGTGAGAGATAATTTGAATGATGCTGCTGCCACAATATTGCTGCACTTTTCCATCTCTGCTTTCTTCTTTGCCCGAAACGCTTATACTACTATAGCTCTGCACAACGTTATTGCAGCAAATAGCTTCCATTAGAGGAACTGCTAGACATTACCTTTTTTTATTTTTTTTTACATGGAAAGCTATGGGAAACCCCTCCTAGGCATTTCATGCATTTGATGCCTTATGGTTACGATAAATGAGGAGCTGAATTAGTGGCTTGGCCATCATAAAAGCACTGCTTTGGGCTAAGTCTGGAGTAGCTATTTCAAGCAACTCTTCCTAATCCCTTCCTGACTTTGGAAAGCTCTTTTGTACTCACGGTATTTCAGTATAAAGGGAAGGAAAATACAAAAGGGGCAAAATCCATAGGGTTTGATTCCCGCTTGCGCTCGGTGCATGCCCTGGGCATCGGGGCTGCCAGGGTGTGTGGCAAGGTCTGATTCCCAGCCTGGCATCATGGGGACATCGTCACCCGGGTATCGGCAGTCCCCAAACGCAGCCCTTCGCCTCTTCTTCGGTGGCGGGTTCGGGGCAGTCGCGGGCTCCTGCTTTGCAGCTCTGTCCTGCTGATTTATCCCTCCGCGTGCCCTGATTCCGGACTGCCGGGCCGGCATTCGGGTCCCTGCTCCGAGTCGCTCTCGGCAAGGGATGCACTCGGGTTTTCTGCAAGTGCAAAACCTGTGGTTGAGACGTGTCGGAGCTGCTGTTAGAGACACCCCGAGGTGGCTCGGGGCCTCCGGAGCCCGTGTGCGTGCCGGGCCGGGATCGCATTGGCGCGAGGCACCGGTGCAAGTGCCCCTTGCTGTGCGGGTGGCACTGGGCAGAGCAACCTCGTGGGGTCTGTGCAGGGTCCCTGGCAAAAGGCCGAGGTGTTTCATGCTGTGGAGTTCCAGCGCTGGAAATAAGCAGCAGCAATTGCTTTAATTGCCCCGGCGATGCGGTCGTTTCGAGGTGGGCCGCGGAGCGCGCGCTGTCATTACGCTATCGCTCCTCACAGCTTTGCGGCGCCGAGCCTGCAATTCCGCACCGGGAGAAGCCTGAAAGGTTGTGATTAGCGAGCAGGGAGGGCGCCAGCAGCCCCGGCTGCTCCTGCCCTCCGCTTCGGCACCAGAACGGCTGCTCCTGCCCTGCGCTTCGGCACCGGAACGCAGCGATGCAGCCGCTGCTGGCCCCAGCCCGCCTGGCCCCGCTTGCTTCGGCACTAAACAGGAGCCTTTTTGGGGCTTTCTGGCTCTGTCCTCCCGTGTTTGCTGCTTTCTGGAGAGCGCGGGATGGGCCAAGGAGGCTCTCAGAGGCCGGGCACGTTCAGCAAAGCCACTCATTGAGTATTTCAGTAGCCCTCGTATGTATATTTAGATATATATATGAGAACAAGTCTCCCTTCCCGGTGTGCAGGGCAGCTGAAGCGCCCGGTGCTGCTGGGTGCCAGTGCATGTCCTCAGGAGCTGGGGATGGAGCTGCTCGGACAGGGACCGTTCCACAGCCCAAAAAGCTCCTTTTTTCCTCTCTTCTTTTTCTTTCCTGCTTATTAAGCTCTGCAATAAAGCGGTGAGGAGGACTCTGATTTCCAAGAGCTGAGGGAAGGGGCAGGCAGCACGTCCGCTCCCCTCCCGTGTGCCAAGGGAGTTGCTTTGGCTCCGGCAGGGTCAGGAAAAATCCCGTAGATCATATTGCCGGGGATGTGAATATTTTCCTCGTCTCACTGAAATCGTGTCCTCTCTGCTCTCAGCATCCCCTAACCTGCTGCCTCCACTGTGTGTCTGTCCCATAGCAAAAGTCCTGCGGCAAAGGGCTCTTCAACCTGACCTGCAGCCACCTCAACCTTGCGGAGAAGGAATATTTCGGGCTGGAGTTTCGGAGCCAGGTCGGGCACCATGTGAGTGCCGGGCAGGTACCCCGTGTTCCCCTCTCCGTCCCTGTCCCAAGTTGCTAGCACAGCTGGCTGGAGTTTTTTATTGCATTCTTGTGTGATTCTGCGGCTTTTGTTCACCCAGTTCTTCACTGCCTTATTTCAGGTCTGGTTGGAACCACTAAAACCAATAACAAAACAACAGGTAAGTAAGTATTTTGCAATTATACTTATAAATCTCTGTCAAGGACAGCCTGTCCCAGGTGCATTTGCACAATCTTTTGTGCTTGGGGAAGGGGCTGTGGTCTCTGGGCTCCTGTCACAGTCTGAGGCTGGGTAGGGTTTTTGAAGCCATTAAAATATCAAATCCTGCAGCAGAACTGCTGCATTTGCCGTGGTGGATGAGGAGGGGACGCTCGTGTTTGCAGGATCTCCCCATGGAAGGGACACGCTGGCTGGAAGGCCACCCCGTTGATGTGCCCCGAGTCACCTGCATGTCCCCCCTGCCCATTCCCTCTGCCCCAGGGGTGGCAGCCCCCGCATCCAGCTGCCCCCTTTCCCACTAGCCTGGCGTTTAGCCCCACGTGCCGGAGGATCAGTGGAACCCCGGGGCAAACTGCAGGTTAAGGGAGATGCTGGAGCGTTTCCCGCAGCTCCCTTCCCTTCCCAAGGATGGGTTACGGGCGGGTTGTCCTGGGGCAGGAGGGAGTCCCTGGTGCTCGTGGATTCAAGTCCCAGTTCACCAGGGATCGGAGTGACTGACTCCGGCAGGAGGCAGCATGTGTGAAGCGAGTTGTGAATGTTCTCAGTAGGCACGGGAAAGCAAACTTATGAGGTGTTGTGTTTTAAGATCCTAAGGAGGTTCTTTTCAAATTTATGGTGAAATTTTTCCCAGTGGACCCTGGACATCTGCGAGAAGAGCTGACCAGGTACAGTGTTTGTTCGGTTCCTTTCCTACTGCACAGCCCTGTGGTTGGCCTTTTGCTGAGCATGTGTTTAACCTCCTTATCCTCATCCTGAGCCTGTCTATCAGCAGGGGTAGCTCTGTCTGCCGAAACAGCTTTGTGCTTTACAAACCAAAACAGAAATGTCTTTTCCTGAGCCTCTGTTTATAAAGGTATTGCAATCCACTCAATGGATCTGCACTCTCAAGAGGCTCCAACTTATTTACTGCTGAATTTCTAGTAGTTTTGCAATGAGTTTGACTTTGCTCAGTCTGGCTGTGTGTTACATTCTGAAATGAAGTGTTTAATTGTAGTATTTTTTTAAAAATTACATATTTAGCTCTCATGTTTTGAAGAAAGCATTGCAAAAAAGGAGCTAAGAGTAAATCCAATGCAATGCTTCAGCCTGATAGCTGCCAATGCCCTGTGAAGCATAAAGGAGTGTTAACTCTGAACCCTAGTGATGCACCAGGGCAGCAGCCCCTCGCAGAACGGCCCTGTGGAGCTGCAGCGCAGGGCAAGGCCCCGTCCCAGGGCACCGTCCTCTCCTCTCCGCAGGTACCTCTTCGCCCTGCAGCTCAAGAAGGACCTGGCTTGCGGGCGGCTGCCCTGCAGCGACAAGAGCGCCGCGCTGCTGGTCTCCCACCTGCTGCAGGGTGAGGGCCCCGCAGGGAGCGGGGGGCCGGGGGTGTCGCGGTGCCTCCCCTCACCGCGCTGCGCCCCACAGCCGAGCTGGGGGACTTCCACGAAGAGAGGGACCAGAGGCACCTGGCCGGCCACAAGTACCTGCCCAACCAGGACTACCTGGACCACAGGATCATGCACTACCACCGGCGTGGCCCCGCGGGAGCCCTGACCATCCTGCACCAGCCAGTGCAGCAGGGTGCCCAGCGCATCCTGTTTGACCTGGAGAAGAGAAGATTGAGAGGGGATCTCATCAATATGTAGACATACCTGGGAGGAGGATGTAGGGAGGATGGGGCCAAACTCTTCTCAGTGGTGGCCAGTGATGGGACAAGGGGTAATGGGTACAAATTGAAACACAGGCAGTTCCACCTCCATGTGAGGAAGAACTTCTTTCCTGTGAGGGTGCCAGAGCCCTGGCACAGGCTGCCCAGAGAGGCTGGGGAGGTTCCTCTGGAGATCTTCAACCCACTCAGATGCCGCCCTGTGCCCCTGCTCTGGGTGTCCCTGCTGGAGCAGGGGTTGGACTAGGTGATCCCTAGAGGTCCCTTCCAACCTCATCCATTCCGTGGCTCTGTGATTTTCACATCCTTCTCACTCCTTGTTCAATGAAACGGGTGACTCGTTGGTGCCTCCAGCGGGAAGACGCCGGCCGAGTCGGACGCGCAGCTGCTGGACGTGGCGCGGAAGCTGGACATGTACGGGATCCGCCCGCACCCCGCCAGCGACGGCGAGGGCACGCACATCAACCTGGCCGTGACGCACATGGGGGTGCTGGTGCTGCGGGTGAGCCGGGACCCGCCACCCCAAACCCCACGAAGCAAAAACATGACCCCGGCGCGTCCCGGCGCGGGCAGCGCCGTCCCCGGGAGAGCCGCGTTTCACCTTGTAGAGCGACGCGCGGCCATGCAGCAACGCGGGGCGCAGGGCTGCGTCACGCGTGCTCAATGTATAATCTTCCAGCAAAAATAGCCCTCTCCTGTCTGTGCCGTTGCATAAGGCTGTAATCACGGCATCGCTGCAGAATAACTACAGCCTGCCGCGAGCCCTGGCGAAGCAGCGCTCGCCTCCCACGCCGACTTAATTTCAACCTGGGACCGGCTTGCCAGAGCAGGAGAAAATCCTAACTGTGGGTCTGCTGCTGGTAATTAGCGCTGCTAGACCCGGTTATTTCTGCAGAGCCGTAAACACCGCGAGCCCGTATACGTGGTTGGCTTCTGGGATGCAAAAAACCCTCCGGGTGTTCTCAGGAGAGCTGGAGGGTCCTGAGGTCGTGGTGGTGTTTAACATGGCCTGATCTGCTGCTGCAGTGTCCATGGAGGCTGGCAAAGAGCTTCTCTAGGAGCAGAAGAGCAAAGCCCTGAAGCTCCATTCCCGTTTTTGGGATCAGCTGGTGGGATTGTGTATGGGGTCCCAGGGCTGTGAGGGCTCTTCTCAGGCTGAGTCTGCTCTGTGTTGGTGTCTCCAAGGGTCACATACCCCAACTCGTTTCAAAGTCTGCCGTGTCCGGCTTTGCAGGGCAACACGAAGATCAACACGTTCAACTGGGCCAAAATCCGAAAACTCAGCTTCAAGAGGAAGCATTTCCTCATCAAGCTCCACGCCAACATCGCCGTAAGTACAGGACCGGGTGCCGCAGCCACCAGCACAAGCCTGGGGTTGGTGCCTGGCAGGCCCAGGTGGTCTCGGATGTTCTTTTTTTTTGCATAAACCCCATTTTCCACTACTTTTCTTGCTCGCGGCATTCCCGGGGGGCCGCCGGCCCGCGGCCGCGCAGGCGCTGTGCAAGGACACGCTGGAGTTCGCCATGGCCAGCCGGGACGCCTGCAAGGCCTTCTGGAAGACGTGCGTGGAGTATCATGCCTTCTTCAGGCTCTCCGAGGAGCCCAAGTCCAAGCCCAAGGCCCTGCTGTGCAGCAAGGGCTCCAGTTTCCGATACAGGTGACAAAAACACACCCTTCCTGGGAGGAAACGGTGCCGGGGCTGGCGCGGGGGGCGAAGGCTGACGGCTCCTCCCGGGCTTTTCTCCCGCGGCTGCAGCGGGAGGACGCAGAGGCAGCTGCTGGAGCACGGGCGGAAGGGGCAGCTGCGGAGCCTGCCCTTCGAGAGGTACCGGGGGGACGGTGGTGAGGGGGACACAGCGCCCGGGCGCCCGGTGACACCCTGGACCTTGCAGGAAACGCCGCGCGTCCCGCTACGACGAGCGCCAGTGCCGCTCCTCGCCGGACCTGCTGACCGACGTGTCCAAGCAGGTAGGTGTCCCCGCGCCGTGGTGGCCACCACGCACGGGGAGGCCGAGCCGCCGCCGCCACGGCCACTCGCC